TCACAGGATCAAAACACTGACCAATTCTGGAAAATACTGAAGATGTTCTATGTCTGGCAGCATCAAATATTCAGCAAAGATTTAATTCTTTATGTAATAAAATCAAGAAATGCATTCATCCTAATAGTAGGTATTTACTTTGATCTTCAATAAATGGCAAATTCTATGTATATCAAAGAACTTTTAAAGGTTTTATCAGTAAATGTTTGTCTTATATACCTATTTTATATGATTATAAATTCAAATCAAATAAAAATGTCGTGAATACAAAAAGTTTAAAAAGGCTGACCTGGGCAACATAGCAAGATTCCAACTCAGAAAATTTATAAAAAAAAAAAAAAAAAAAAAAAAAAAAAAAAAAAAAAAAAAAAAAAAAAAAAAAAGGCTTTTTTTTTTTCTTTCCATTTTTCGAGACAAATTTCTCTTAGTTGTTCCGAAACTCAAACTGTAGACCAGGCTGACCTTGAACTGAGAGACTGCCTCTGCCTCCTGAGTGCTGGGATCTAGGGTTTCAGATATTGGTGAAAAGTACACCTATGTTGTATGAAGTACTGGGTTCAATCCCTACAGTATGTGTGTGCACAACAAACCTAGAAAAGCCAAGCATATTACCAAACTAGTAATAACTAAAAAGAGGCATGAAAGTGAATGGGAACAACATAGGGAAAGTTCCTATCTTGATATAATGTGTAAGTCAAGTTATAACAGACTCCCCAAATACCCACAGTTTACAGATTTATTTTGCTTAGGCTCTTCATTTATCACAAATCATCTGGTGGCCCTACCTACTGCCCTATTTAGAGACTGACAGAAGCACTATCTTTCCAGGTCTAAGAAGCAGGAGAAGGGAAAGGACAGCTCACACATTATCTTTTAAAGGTTATTACTTCTTGCTTTTAATTGGCCAAAGTCACATGGACATACCAATGATTCCCAGCAGGGAATTAGTCCCATAAGGGATGTTTGGCAACGTCTAGAGAAATGTTTGGTCTCTGGTCATAACACCCAGAACGTGCCTGACACCTGACATCACAAGTCAAACAGGGTCAGGCCTGGTTGGTGTTAGGTGAGAGTTTTTTGATGGTCTAAAAAGGAAGGAGGGGAGGGAGTCCCTTATATGCTGGACCTAATGCTGAGAATAGTTAACCTTAGAGTTTAACAGAAAAGAACAGGGAGTCAAATCTAAAAGGCAATGTTGACAATAGTGGTTGAGATCCTGAATCCAGCAATCTGAGGTCAAATCTTCTTGGTCCCTTACCTATACTTGACTGTTACTTGTTCCTAAATACACAAGAACTTAACAAAATTTATATTAACAGCCATCTCAGAAGTATCAAGCCAAAACATATGAATAATATATCCCATTGGCAATCTAGTAAAAATGAAGAATTAGTTACTTTAAAACTGCACCTGTCAAACTGTTTTCTGATTCCCTTTATATAGTGACTCATTTTCTGGCATTATTAATTTTTAATATAGGCTATATCAATATTTATCATATTACAAATTAAAATAAGTAAATTTTAATTCATTTTCAACAGGCCCACTAATGTTAACCTAAATAATTTTTATGAAAAATATTTTTTCTAGAACACAAAAGTTAAGAATGACACTATTTTACATCAGTTCAAATTTCTTTCTAGATTAACTAAAGACAGCTGCATTCTCCTACCTTCTTTAGCACTCAATCTGCTGTGAATTGTAAAGTGCAGGAAGAAAATGTGACACAGAGATATGTATAATTGGAAAGAATATTTTAATACTCTTCTCAGATAATAAAGGATATTCATCTTTTATTCAATGCCAAAACGAAACAAATGAAGATTACTTGAGTAAAATCTGAATTCTGAGATTCTGGGTTTGTTGGATAAAAACCTACTGGGTTGGGGCTAGGGAGGTGGCTCAGCGCATGAACATGGGAACCTGTGTTTGTACCCCAACTCATACAAAAAAAAAAAAAAAAAAAAAAAAAAAGCTGGGCACTCTTCTAATACCAATGTTGGGAAGTAAAAACAGACAGACCTCTGGAACTGAGTATTAAAACAAACTCAGGAAAACAAAAAAAACAAAAATGCAGAGTGGACCACTCCCAATAAACTGCAGCCAAGACAATCATCTGCTTCCCCATGAGCATACATACAACACACAGAAGTCCCCCCCCCCACACACACACACAGGAACCTGCTTAGAATACACAGGAGCACCTGCCTGCGTAGTGCCCGCCTGTGCTTGCACGATTCTATCTACATCTAACTCTGCAAAGACTTTAGAACATTAAGAATTGTTCATTTAGGAAAACACTGGTACAGTAAGTTATTCAGATTTTCCAAATGCTGAACCATTTCCTTATAGAATATATTTGTTTGTTTATTGTTTTGACACAGGGCCAAACAGCCCAGGCTGTCATAGAACTCACTATGTAGACCAGACTGGCCTCAAAACCAACATAATCTTGCCTTGGTCTCCTACATGCTAGAATTACAGGCACAAACATGTTCAGGTAGAATACACGTATTTTTTTTTTTTTAAATCACATTCATTCCTTAAAAATCACCAACAATATCACTAGAAAAAAAGTATTAGGAAATTAGCAAACTCATGCTAACAGACCCAGGTTTTCCAAAACTTTAATTTTCATTTGAAAGATTAGACTTCATCACTGACAACTAATCCTTAAAGTGGTGGGCTCATTTCATTCATTTTCACCAAATAGCTAGGTCTAAATGATGACAGCATATCTACAGGCATTCTGTGAAATAAAAATAAAAATGATACTACATTTCAAAAGCAGCATCAAGCCTGCAGCTCAGTCACATAAGTGGTTTTCCTTGGACATGCAAAAAAATGCTTAATACACACTTCCTTTTTAATCACGCAAAATAGACTACTTAAAAGCTAAAACTGTTTACTTCTTCACCAAGGGCATTCTTAAGTGAAAGTGAAATTTTTTTTCAAATGCTAAACATATATCTGGCTGTGAAAAACACAAAGAATCTGTCTTAATTCATGCAAAGGAGCCACCAGTCTATCCACTACTGTTTCTATACTGTTTCTATAGTACAACTGGAACATAGAGAAACACCAAATAATGTTTCTGCCTTATTATGAAAATTATTTTGAGCTCATGACCTCTTTAATAAAAGGATCGTGGGGCTTCCCAGAAATCAACAGAGCATATTTTGGGAACCACTATTTCAAAAGATTGGAAAGGAAGCTGAATTTTAATACCTGGCAACTGGGAATAGGAATGTATTGAAATTCCACAGAAGCCCAAAATGGCTCTAGCAGGTGAAGGCCTACCTAAAGCACAAGTCTCAAATGCTGTTAATTCTACAGAGCATTGGTCTAATTTGCAGACTACCAAAAATATAGCAAAACAAATTACACCACGAATAAATACACCTAAATTGAGAAGTCTAATAACAAAGTCGGTCTTGTTTGTTTGTTTTGTTTTTTGAGACAAGGTTTCTCTGTGCAGCTTTGGATCCTGTCCTGGAACTCACTCTTTAGACCAGGCTGGCCTCAAACTCATAGAGATCCGCCTGCCTCTGTCTCCCGAGTGCTGGGATTAAAGGTATCACTTCAATACCTACACACATTCAATTATTCTTTCAACAAAGTTTATCTTTTTGTTTTGTTTTTGTTTGTTTTGAAAAAGGATTCCACTATGCAGCTTTGGCTGGCCTGGAACTCAGAGATAGCCTCCTTCCTGCCTCTGCCTCTCAAATGCTGAGATTAAAGACTGAAACACCATCCCAGTCTTCAGCTGATCTTAACAGAGTCTATAACAGTAGATGCATTTAGTGTCTAACAATTCCTGGCTTCAGCTGGCTCATTGAGCACTAGTTCTATCAACTGATACAATGACTGTCCACCATATTAACTTCACTAGAATTAACTAGTCAGCCAGTTACCAATAATAAATACCCTTAGTTCAGTTCTGAATGTATGAATATATTTTGAAGCCAGGTATGGGGCACAAATATGTAATTCCTTTACTCAATGGGTTGAGAGAGGATGACCTGAAATCCAAGGCAATGTGGCAAGACCTTGTCTGAAAACCTACACACTCACACAAACACATAAGAACAAGTACACATATATACACACACATTTACCCTGAGAAAGCCCAAGCTGTATACATTCATCTTTATTTATAGAAATCATACATTACTAAGACAGCAATTACTTATCAGTAGTCCTTTCTGTTTAATCATAAGAGCTCCATTCAAAACAATAGAATTTGACAGGTTCCAAACTGATGATCAAAAGGTATAAATAAATACAGAAATAAGAATAAGCAATATGAATAACCAAAACCTTCACAATGGGGGGGGGGCTTTTTCCCTAATAGCTATTGCCATGCCTCCTCCATTCTATTTCCATTCTGAATAAGTGTGTGTGTGTGTGTGTGTGTGTGTTGGAGTTAGGAAGCAAAAAAAGATATATTTTTATAAATAGTTCTTCCAAAGACAAGAGATGCAGCTACCTTTATAGACCAGCACTCTGGAGCGACTTCAGGTAGATTAAGTAAAGTAGAAGAGCTGAGGATGTAGCTCGATGGCACAGCACTAGTCCAACCAAGTGTGAGTCCCTAAATTCAATCACCAGCAGCAGGAAGGAAAACATAAAAAGAGAACATGTGCCTAAATGAACTATCTACAGAACTGCCAACTAGCTGGGCTAGTTGAGCAACTTTCGCACAATGCATAAATTAAACCCCCAACTGTCCAGGTTTAATCAACGCAACTTTCCTCTAAGGCCCAGTAAAGTCATGGTTAGAAAACCGTGTCACTTCCAAGCAGACTAACCCCTGAGGAATACTAAATTCCAGGGCTGAAGAAATGGCTAAAAACAGTTAAGAGCAGACACTATTTCTTCTAGAGATACTGGATTTTGGCTCTTTCTCAGCACCCACTTTGGGCATGTGGCTTCCTTAGTCACCAGCAGAGAAGCACACAAATACGT